GGCGGGAGAGTGGCATGGGATCCGTTTTAATTAAAATCGTAGCGTAACGTAATTTAGGTGCCCTCCAGCCAGCCAACGCGGTTGTTCTCCTTCATGAACCCGCTGGCCGTGGAGATCTGGCTGTACGTGCTGGCCGCGTACATGCTGGTGAGCTTCACCCTCTTCGTTATGGCTCGATTCAGCCCGTACGAGTGGAACAATCCACACCCGTGTCTGGCAGAGAGCGACATCGTCGAGAACCAGTTTAGCGTCAGCAACAGCTTCTGGTTTATCACTGGCACGTTCCTCAGACAGGGCAGCGGGCTCAACCCCAAGGTACATTCAACGAGATGCTCCGTCACTGGGCTATTTCTGCCGTTCAATTACTTCGTGTCACGAGGACCCCAGACTAAGCGCAGACCCTTGTCCCGCTCCTTTTATAACTGCTCCGAAGTTTGTGGATTCTTAGGGGATTTCTGTGGAGTGATGGTCGAATCGAAAGGAACAGATAAGAATGTCATACACAAGGTGTCTCAGTTGTATTCCGCTCTAAAGCTTTGAAAGGATGTTCTATGATTGTAGAAATGTTGGTCGTTTGAAGACTTATTGGAGAGCTATAAGAAAAGTAGAAAATACGATGCGGACCATATCTAGCTTTCAAACGTCGTTCGGTTTCATATCACTGGGCTTCATATCATTTTATGTGTAAGTAACTTTAAAGAAAAGGATACAGAGTAAATATTAATATGTATAGCGAATTAATACGATCGGTTTATCAAGATAAAACAAAATCGAAATAAACATGTTGGAATAATATATTAATATTTTACCGCTATTAATGTTCTATCGATAATCTCGGGATCCATTAACATTCCCCTCCGAATTTCATGTTTTTCTCGCAATTTTTCTAAATGACCTTATGCGATATATTTTTCTTATTTATATCTCTATATTACCCTGACGATGCTTGGTCAAGAAAAGTGACACACCCAACAGAAATACAATTTCTTTGTTAATGCAAGATCAACAAATTCGTAAATATTCTACAGAATCCACAAACAATTTTGCGAATCCAGCTATCGATTTAGTCCCACCTGGTCCTCCGGATCCATCTTCCAATACTTATCGATGATCTTTCGTCGAGCGAATAACAGAAATCAGAAGCTGTCACGTCTGGGAGCACCCGATTGTCGGCGGTTTCCGTGGACTCTCGATGGCATTCGAAAACGCTGGGCTAGAGACGAACCGTATTACGGTTCATATTCGCTCGAGTCGCAGCCCAAATCACGATGATTCGCGCTCCAGTTTCGTCCGATGGGTGAAACGACCGGAGAAAAAAGAGAAACGAGAGGATAAAGGAATCCGTCTACCGGTTAAACTTCTGCAGTATGCTGAAACCGACTATTGTATTCCGTGGCTAGTGACGGGCTAAAGAATAGAAAACGGAATCTCCGATTTCTCAGCGAGATAAAGGATCGTCTTGCGTTACTATTCACGAGGCTGACAGAGGAACGTAGCTGAAACAGTTATCCTCGAAAAAGTGGTTTTTCGCGTGAAAAAATCGTGAATAAACGACACGGAAAAGACGTAGAAAGATTTCGCCTGGGGACCACGAAACGAGGGGAAAATCGGCAGATGAGAAAATGTATTGGGCTTTACTGGGCGATAAGTGGGTAGAGGGAGATATAGGGAGAAGAATCGGGGATTAGTAATCCGGAAATACGTGTAATTGCTGCAGGTTTCCGGGCGAATGCCGTCGAGGCTGTTCTCGTTCATGAATCCCCTCGCCGTGGAGATTTGGTTATCCATGCTGGGCGCTTACGTGATGGTGTCCCTAACGATTTGGATAGTGGCGAGATTCTCGCCTTACGAATGGATTGAACCGACACCCTGCCCAAGCTGCAAATGTCCGCTACAGGTAGGCTCTCGTCGAGTGGTGCTAATCGACTACGGAATTGAATCGAGTGAAACCGACGCAGAAAGGTGTCGTGAAAAAATAGACGAATTAAAATATCAATCTCAATTTTTTTCTTTTGCGGAGAAAAGCATCATTATACAGAATATATAATATTGCATTACACATTATAAGTTATAATTCAATTATGAATTAAGATGAGATATAAAAATTTCTTAAATCTTCGGCAAGTTTGAGAAAATATATCAAGAGATGAATGTGTTATTGGTATTTAACGCAATGCAATTAAAACCTGTAAAGTATTGAACGACGTATTGCGAGGATACATATAAAGGAGATCGTATCGTCGTATATTTCTGGTAGGGACATTGATTTTAAAATTTTCAATGATTCGAGGACAATCTAGAAGATCGTTTAAACACTAACTCTTCGCATCTTGTTTGTTCATAAAGAAATTTCTATATTCCGATGATATAAGGCCAAGAATGGATATTATGAGCTGATAATTGTAATACGTAGAAGGTATGGATTCATTACAGTGCTTGACAGCTATACGTAGAACTCTGTGCTGAAATATGATGCTCAAATTGTGGATCCAATATTGGTTTAATTAAAGCGTAATAGAGTAACTTTGGAGTGTTTATATTTCAGAAGAATTTGACAATTCTCGCAATGAAAATTCAATTTCCAATTCAAAATTTAAAATTCAATGCCCTGTAACTACAAAATTTAATATTTGTGAGTTTTGTAATGGATATCAAGTCTGTGGAAGAAATGATAACTAGATTGCGTATTGATCTATTACATTTCAAGTTGTGTTCGCAGTCCACGCAATATCTCAATGTATAATATATTCTTAAAAATTGTTTCAGTCATTCAGGTTACCAAAATTAATTGTATAACGTTGTTATGAATTTCCAGAAATATGCACGAGCAATTGGAAATTCTTTTGCGTCACTGTTACGATACTGAAAATTATTCTAAAGCCTTCATAGAGATTCTTAGCCAGCTGTAACTTCGTTGAAAGTATTTACACGATCAGAAACGTCGTATCGTTGAACAATCCTATTCGATACTCACGACCCTTTCGATCGCTCGAATAACCGCTAACTACTTACGGACAGCTTGTGTAATTGTCCTTGAAATTTCGCACCACTTGGCGGGGGTCCCGATGTCATCAGGGTAGTCACGTGAGCGCGTTGGATCCTGACAGCGACGACATTCCTCTACCGAGAACGGTCAACGAGTTCACCCTGGCCAACAGCTTCTGGTTTACAGTCGGCACGCTTATGCAACAGGGCAGCGATCTCAACCCTAAGGTAAACGTGTCACCACAGAGTCCGGCAGTCGAGAATAATCACTTGTACAAATAAAATCTTCGTAACACACAATCGGAAGCTCGTTGGTTTCTACGAATCCATTCATCTCGAATGTATGAATATACAAGCAACGTTATTCGACGAAGAAACGACACACTCGCGTGAATTATTGGAAGAACGATTCCTCGGAACGATTCATAAATTTTATAGGTTGTCAAACTCGCGATACATACAGTATAGATCCGACGAATGAAAATGAACGAAAAAGCTCGTGATTTAAAATCGACTAAAAGCATCTCGAGACACATAGCTGAGCTAACAACGATATCACGAGACTGTAAAGTAACTTGTATCTTGTAACGATATTATCCGCAATAAAGGTGAGCATTTAAAACGACCTCGTGAAATTCGTAGTATTGTCATAAAGGTAGCAAGTGTGGAGGCACAAGCCGCGTGCTCTTAACTGCGTGCTTAGGACCGGGCCACAGGAAAGCCCGGTTTTATTTACCAAACAATTACGGAAACAACGCAGCTTTGCCCTCGCTCTGGCCTTTATTTTCTGGTTTCTTTGTTTCGTCTTATGAAGGGTAGGGCGAGGGGGGAGGGAGGAAAAGCAGTTTCTCTAATTTCTTCTCGCGTTTCTGAGGACACTAGTTTTCGTTGTTTTTAATCTCAGTGGAAGTGTTTTCATCCCTTTTGATGCGCTTTCTTTGGAGAAATTAGGTTTCTAATTCCGTTTGTTAAGCTGAATTCATGGAGAACTTAATGTATGTTATGTTTGAGTTAAAAAATACCCGATAGAGTATAATACAAAGACAGGGTATTTCGAATCTCGTGTTTATCTAATATTTCATTATATTTCCAAGACCGTGAAAGCGAGTGGTCTCATTTTTCGAAAAGTTTCAAAGGAAGATGATCCATCAAACTCGAGCCATAAAATGGAACGAAGTCTAACGAGCTTCCCTATTTAACAAACGAGAAACACCGTACAAAGCGCAGAAATGTTTCAAGCACCATATGAGTACATCGTGTGACTCTAAACGTAGACAAAACGAGATCAGGAAACAGATACATTCGTTTACATAATTCGCGGATAAAATTGGAGGATGTTCATCGTTCTATTTGTCTAGTATGCCTTTTAACTTCACATTGAGAATAGAAGAGCAAAGTGCTTTATTCATCCTAGCGATATCTCTTTTTGTTATCGATTACGCAGGATCTTAAGCAGACGAAAGATCTTTTCTCATTCAAGTAGCACGAATTGAAATAGCGTGGACACTTTAGTTGCACCGACGAACACGACAGGAAATCTCGATAGAAACAGAACGATCGAGTATCGAGAGATCGCATGTCACCCCTGCATGCACATAGCAGCCAAGCACCTTACATTTCGTTCGCCTCACTTCCGTCGTATCGTTCCCGCTGACAGCTTCTCCTTCTTCCTGTTAGTCCGACTAAATCCAACGGAATTACCGCTAGAGCAGATTTCTTACGATTTGAAAAGTTTTCATTCGCAGGCTTAAGAAAATTTCTGCACGTCATTCAGGAAAGTGAGTCCCCTTTGCGCGGGAAAAGTTCGAACGTGGAGCAAGTAGTTTCGCGTAGAATTCGACGACGAACTTCTCTGGTAGTCGAGATTACTATGGGAAATCTTCGTTTTTAATCTTGTCTAGTCCATGTGCGAAGTTTGATAGATTAGTAGATTACATAAATGGAGCCATAAATATTTGATGAGACAGTTGATAACTTCGAGAACAACATATTTTTGCAACAACATATTTCATAATCGCCATATCCGTCGTAAGTGCTACGTCCGGCGATAAAAACTGCATGTAATAGCTGTTTATGAAGCTACATTCGCAGCAGGGGTTAAAATGCTTTATAGGGCGTAAGTTGAAAATTTGCCTCGAGCTTGATGTAATAACGTTACATGATCCACGATGCGGTTAATTCATCTTACACGCTTGGTAGCAATTTCGAAACCCGCCACTAAGTAGTTGTAAAGCAATAAGAGCGCTCTAACTGCATAAGATTTATTTTAGAACCCCTTCTGATTAACACCATTTTCCAAGCAGATGTGAAATAGTCAAAAAGAAATCCAATTTGTACCGAATTACACACAGTTAGAAATTGTTCGTGCGCCAAGAGTTTACTATATACCCTTTTCCACTGAATTGAATCTTCCCTGTGGCCACAGACATAATACCCAGCGAGGTGAAAATGGTTTCTAACGAGACGAGAAACACCTGTACGACATATGGTGCTAGCCGGCTCTGGTGGCATGTGTGTACATGCGGGGTTGTCGTTGCGAAGTTCGCGGAGAATGGCGATTCTACGCGGCTGCGAGCTCTATGAATCCCAGACATCCGCGTAAAAAGGTCGGATTCGAGAGTGCTCGAGCGAGATCGCGATCCCCTCCTTTCATTGAAAATTCTGGAATAAACGGGAAAGCGCGGGAAGAAGCTCGCGTCGCACGGGTACCGCGAGAATTCCTCTCGCTGGAAACTTATCGTTCGAGAGATTTTCCAAGTCGTATCGGCGATGTGACACAGCGAAAGAGAAAATAGAGCAGCGTAATCCTCGAGTCTGCGAGATATTTGCCTCGACACCGTTGGCGATATGAATAAATATCAAGAAACGGGCAATTTCTTTTCTACTGCGGTGGGTATAGCGAAACCAGCCACTTCTATTCCATTTCTTTCATTCTTTTCCTCGCGTTAACAGCCAAATGTCTTTATAAATATTTCTAGAAGAAAATTAAAGCAAGGAAAATTATACTTTGTAGAAGATATTTGAAAGATCTATAGCGGCTGCAAAACACACACTGGCTCGTGTAGGTGTTCGTACACTTACCACAAAGTAAGTATAGTACTTACTTATATGGTAATTTGAATAACATCTTTCATATCGTAAAGTAGAAGGAATTACATATTAAGAAATGTTTCGAGTCACGGTAATCGTTAGCATGAACCACTTGGTACCATAGCTAATGGAACGAAATATGCCATTAGTGGGCTCAGAAGGGTGTAAATGAGACCGCATATTGCATTCTTCGAGTGGAACGTAGCAGAGACACGAAGCTCTTAAATCGTCTCCCGACCTCGATGCTCCACTGACGTGGTTTCAATTGATCGTCGAGGCTCTTTATGGGCTTCCGGGGCACGGAGATGCGATATCGAGGCGACATTCGCAAGAAAACCGATTGCCAGACGAACGCCAGTTATTTCGATACAATATTTCGTCGTAAATATTTCATCACGTTATATTTGATGAATCTTCTTAAAGTCTTTAATGTAAGTGGAGAATTTTATAAGCTTCAGCGTTCGTACATTTTCCACTTTAACAATTAACTAAAACAACAATTAAAACATAATGATTTAATAAACAAAATTATCAAGTAATCTGAAAAACTATATAGTTATAATAACGAAAATATGAACTTCATTTAAGAATTAATAAATATTTAACAGTATGAAGAATTCATAGAATGACACAAATTTCATAATAGATATTGTGAAAAATTTATATGCATCCGATTCGGAAAAAAAAAATGAAAGAAATTGGCTAATAACAACTTCTTGTTTCGCTATTCCACTTGGTCGGTAGTTAAAGGGTTGCAATTTCGAGGCGGCTCGAACGATTTCCCAGAAGGAATTGCTCGCGAGAGGGGTGCAATTTTCCATTACGTAAGAGGCCTATCGATCGTCATTATCAGGCAACCAGCACGAGAATTGTTGGCGGAATCTGGTGGTTCTTCACGTTAATCATCATCTCCTCTTACACGGCGAACTTGGCTGCCTTCCTCACTGTCGAGAGGATGATCACGCCGATCGAGAACGCGGCAGATCTCGCGGAACAAACGCAGATTTCCTATGGAACTTTAGAGGGTGGAAGTACGATGACGTTCTTCAGAGTAAGTATCAAAGATTATCAAATTGTTTAAAAGGAAATTTAAATACGAAATCAATAGATGCGGGAAGTTGTGAGTGACGGATTTAATGAACATCTCCGCAGATACGCAAAAGTTTAGAACACGTTGTTAGCAACTAAAGCAAAGTTTAACACAGTTGCGTTGAAACTTACCTGCGTGAAATTCTATACTTAAGGATCAAACTAGTTAAATCAAGCCAATTTTTGTAGAATTTGAGTGGTAGATTCGAAAAATGCCGAGTATAAGTAATGTAAGTCCAGATATGCAAAATAAATATTTTTTATATTACAACAAAAACTAACGATAAGAACAAGAACAAATATTGTTTTATAATTGTTCTCTTTCTTCTCGTATATACAATAGAATCATAGAATTAACGTAGTCTCACGTTTGGTCTTCTTTTTCTCCAACACAGACGAAGATATAAATTCATTGATATTAATTAACGTCACGTGGCTCATTGTCTACGTAGCACCTAGCATTCTGCAAGAGTCACGATTTTCATTCGCATTCCACCCGCTTCTTACGGGTATTTTGTTGGACGTGAATCGCGCGTATATTCGTAATTCGTTCGAAATATTAAAACCATAAACATACCGTTCATAATGCGAGACAAATTCGACTAATTATCACGGGAGGTAGCTTTCATACCGGCGAATTCGTCGAATATCCAACCTTTAACGCCGACTTTTAACGTTATTAAATTCGAAACGACATTCCAACAACGCGTATCCGCTAAATTATATTAATATTGCGATATTGAAATAGCACTTTGCGCGCCACCATGATCACTGATTTATTCTCAGGACGTACGTTATTACTAAACTCGGCACGCGCCGTGTTCGAATGACTGGAAACGCGGTCGGAGAAATTTGAAAAAAGCATCCTTTGTAGCGTCGATTGTATCCTCTTCGTTATTCCCTAACCAATACTCATGAAAAGAATATACACCGATACGTATATAGTCTATCAGTTTTATCTGCAAACACGTAAATATCTCGAGAACTATAGCTGATACAAAGACTTTGAAAAGTCTTATGCAGATTATGTTTTTCATCCTATATCCTTATAGCCTGCGTCAAAATATTTTCAAAGCACCACATACTTGTATTCTTTGCATAAACCACTGTCGAGATATTAAATCCTAAATTTGATATGCCGGAGGCATTGGCGTTACCTGATGTAGCTACCACCACGGGGTGTATATATACTATGTATACTATGAAAAAGAACCGATTACGTGTATGTGTGTGTCTGTATGCTAAATACTATTCCATCCTCCGGCAGAATTAATATCTCGGTAGTAGTTTATGTAAAAAATACGAGTAATGTTTCGAAAATATTTCGATGTGGATAACAAGAATATGGAATAAAAAGATATACTTGTCATTTAAAATATAACCGTGATTTCCATATGGCTTTTGAAGATCATTGCGAAGTGTAATAAATATCGGCATGATATGTATCCACCGTTCGAAAACGTGCAACATGTATTTCAAACATTTTTTCGTATTATTCGTAGTTTTCGAGATATCTGCGTGTTTCCAGATAAAATAGACATACTCTATATTTCTAAAACAGAAAACACAGCACGGATGTACTATGTTTTACAAACGTATTTGATTAATTCGAAATAGGGCAAAATGAAATTCCTTTTGCGCTTGTTTGAAACGAATATTCAAATGACAATGGAAACGAAAATAACCAGTTGCGGAACAATTAAACAGAAAACACGTCGCGATACTGAATCTCCTCTCATAAAAAATTAGTATACGATTACAGTGTGCCAAATTACCTGTAGTCCCGATATGATATTCATTTTTAAGAAACGCAAACAGGCAAACGATAATTGTAATATTTGCAATAACAGGACTCGAAGATTGGAATATACAAAAAGATGTGGGAGTTCATGGAAACGAAATCGCCATCGGTATTCGTGAAAAGCTACGAGGACGGAGTGAAAAGAGTGCTCGAGGGTGACTACGCTTTCCTGATGGAATCCACCATGCTCGATTACGCTGTGCAACGAGATTGCAACCTCACGCAAATCGGCGGCCTGTTGGACAGCAAAGGTTACGGGATTGCCACTCCGAAAGGTAATATCGGAAAACAATCGAAGCCTATTTCTGCGGTTCGATCTAATCATAAAGAAATGTCCATTTTCTTTTTTTTTCGTTTTTTTATACTCGCAGGAAAATTCACTCTTCCCCAACATATCCACTCTGTGTAAAAAAGTTGAAAAATTCTTGATGAAGCGTGCCAGAAAATATCATTCTCTTTCCCGGTGGAGTAATTAATTCACAATTGTTTATTTAGAAAATATTTTGTAATCGCTCGGTTTGCAATGCAAGCAAGCTTCTTCGCGTTATAAAACATCCTTCAAAGTGTTTAGCTTCGTGAAAATTATGCTACCACTTTACCGCGTTTTGTTCTCGCGTTTAACGTTTTGCGGTCTTAATTAACACACATGCATTGTGAATCGAAACAACGAGCCTGGCAAGCGTACAAAAGCGTGTCGAACGCTTGACTTTCGCGATATAATGGCCGGCTTGGTACCGTTCGAACGATGTACCACGTAAGAAAACTTGCTACGCGGCGAAACAAACACGTAAATATCGTTCGCTGTTAATATCGCACGGCGGTAGTTTGCAGCGCGAGAAATTGCACCGGAATTTAGTGGCAAGCGGTGAGAAAGGAAGGTGTGAACAGCGTTCCGTGGCAAACACCGTAAAGTTCAAGGATTTGTAGCTCGCCCGAGTATAAAATCGCGCTTGAATGACTGTGAAACGGAAAGAAACACAACGACTAAGAAATCCGGCGTTTTCGTTGCGAAATTCGGCAAAGTTCGTCGCTCGCGCGCTCTTTCGTCGAAGGAGATTTAATTAACGCGGAGACGACACTGGGTCCGAGTTTTAAATCCGTGTAATTCGGTTTCTCAGCGGGCAGACACGAGCTGAAAGTTACGCGCAACTGCTACATAGTCAGACGAGACTGGTCGCTAAGCAATTTCTTAATTGGAATAACGTGTCTGCGTTTTAACTCACTCTTTCGACGCCTCGTTTTGGGTCGGTTTTTAATAACGAATCGTCGGTCGCGTGACGAACATCCGCAAGTTTTCTAGCAAGCTTGCGGGCGGAAACTGTCGTACGTCTTTTGGCTTTGAATGAGCGATTCGTAAGAATTAAGAGAGAAGGGAAGAGATCCAGTAGCTCTCCGTTCCGTTTCGTAGTCGCCTCGGGGAACTAAGAAGGACCAGTCGGAGCAATTCCACCTTCTCGAGACGTTTCTCTGAAGTCGGGACGTTTCAAAGACGGGATCACCGGTTCCTTGACCAGCCTAACGAAGCCGTTTTATATGCAGGCTCGCCCTGGAGGGATAAAATATCTCTGGCGATTCTCGAGCTGCAGGAGAAGGGCGTGATCCAGATTCTATACGATAAATGGTGGAAAAATACCGGAGATGTGTGCAACCGGGACGAGAAGAGCAAGGAGAGCAAAGCAAACGCGCTGGGAGTCGAAAATATCGGTGAGCCCAACGAGAATTAGCAAATTTGACAATGTTTTCCCGCGTTTAGAAAGAAGGCCGAGATTGTGAGAAAGCTGTAATTTATCGCCAGGAGGAAAGAAGGTATGGAGATAACTTTGTCCAATTTTGAGGTAGCAAGTATCGGGTGAAGAGTTGGAATAATATTATTTCAAGTTATCGGTAACGTTTCTTAATGATAAAAAGTTTCGTTAGTTATCTTCATATAAATTTAGTTAGGAAGACTGGAGAAGGGAGGATAAGGTTGAAGTATCGGGTGAAGTGTTAAAATCTCTACTCGAAATTGTCAATAGTGTCCTTTGATGATAAAAAGTTTCGTTAGTTGTTTTCACTGCAGATTTTATTGGAAAGAATAGACAGAGAAGAACAGTGTCGTACAATGCCTGCTGCGAATAGAGAAAACGATTTTATACAGAACATAATTGGCACGGTGTGAAATGTTTGAGGTGGAGAATTTTCATATAACGAATGTTCCGTTAATTAAATTCGAAATACCGAAACAATGCCATCGATGTCACTGGCGTGAAACGGCTGTCTATGTCGGAACGAGTCGATCCAAATGAATTCGTTTCACCGAAATAATTTGGAAGCCCTATAAAACGTCCACGTCAAATAATAAACGTTGAAATAAAAACGTAATTATAAAATAATACGAGTAAAATTGAATTTACTTGACGTCACTCTATTAAAGTATAATAATAGGGAAGATATTTCTCGATAATAATCACGATAACGATCATATCGGAAATTTGAGCCATACAATATACATATAATGGTAGATGGTATTATAGAATTTTCCTGAAAATTTGAATGACTGAGTATCGTTGATCTAGACTTGCTATAATTATACTCTGTAATTTACGAACGTAAATGAGGTCGATGAAACGTGTACGGAACAATGGCGTCGAAATCATTAGGTTCGTTCTGATCGTTTCTGCATCCCGTGCAGTGTGTAACTAACTTAATTTGTGGGCTTTCGGCGAGCCTGTCAGGTTACATAATCAACTACGGATGGATTTCAATCGAATATAGTACAGTCACGTAACATGCCATTTTCAGACTGCCAAAACCCTTCTGCAAAACTCAAGGAAGAATATCGCTCGAGAGATAAGAAAGGAAATGAAACATAAAATCCTAGGTATTTATTTCTATTTGTACAGAAGAAACAAAAATCAAAATACGCTCTTTTGATTCGAAAAATCAGTTCATTAGTTGCGAACACTTCACACAACAAACGCCAACAAAGAGAGTAAAGTGTCGACACGGCGGAAGTGCAACACAAGACTTGGAATGCTTTCAAGCTCAGAGAAATCTCGCGAGATGTTCGTGGAGAATTTTTCTTGGATGTCCCGTGGAACCCTTTTCGGATTTTATGGAAGTCACAACAGATCCTCGCTTTTTATTTTCTCTCGCCGGTCCTTTGTATCCTTCTATTCCTTTTTTCCTACTAGCGGAGAATTCCTGCCATTCATTCTTTCTCTCCTTTTTCTCCTCTCGCTCCTTGTCGCTGACTGGCCTGCAACTTAGATAAGTACCCACTTTGCCACCAGCGCGAACGTACTCGTCGAGACAAGAAAAAGGACAAACGATCCTCATACACCTCGTGAAATTTCAGTCGCACCACTGTTAATCGCCATTTTATAAGACACGCCTGTTATTTGTAAAACAAGGGATGAGAAGGAACGATAGGAGTGTTGGAATTTCACCGTGAACTTCATCTGCAGGGACTTCAAATTTTACATTCTTACGTATTGTAACATATGAGTTTTGCATGTATCTACATTCAAATAACATCCCCTTTAATTTGATAAATCCTTAACTATAATGCTCGTCTATGATAAGAGAATTCTAAATTTTTAATTTTTGTATTCTACGGAATAATTACATAGCGATTCCACATTTTCGTCTGACAATGTTTAACCTTACCAAATATCTTCTCTCGCAAAATCAATATTAAAGCTAATACAACACTGAAACGAACCGAGAATAATTAAGCTGTAGCCAAAATTACTCGAAATAATCAGAATTACTGAGCAAACGCAATCATTGGATAAACGTTCGTGCCCTATTCCTTCTAATTGCTTCATTAAACGACCTGAAATCGTGTTTCAATTTCGTGAAAGGCGTCGTCTACGCTGAAAGGTACTTTTCGACCCGATTCAGTGACGAATACAGAAGTTATCAACGTGAAACATGAATCGTAGCGTAATAGCCAGGCGTTAAGACGTCAGCGACGTTCCTCAACTTACCGCGAAATCGTGACGACAAGAGAAACTGGTTAGAAAATAGAAGCGCCGACCACGCGGGAAACTCTGCTATCTCTGGCGAATTGTCCTTTAAATCGCAACGTCGGCGTAGTTATGTAAATATGACCGATCTGTTGAAGCCCATTACGTTCCTTGGCCAAATAATACCGATGACACAGGTCTGAACACAGGTGAAGTTATACCGTAGACATCGAGCAAACTATTTTACACCGTCGTCTATTTCTATGTGGCGGATGCATCATTCTTTGTATTTATCGTATTGCGAAATGAAACGGTGATTGAACTTTTACCGATTTACTTAGATCAATTGAAAAAAGTATCATGAATTTTGTATACCAATCAGAGAAAACAGGGCAAACTTTGGAGAAAAATACGAAACGCGGATTTATTTAAGAAAAGGGCATAACAGCCGGAGAAATAGAAAAATCAAGGAATTTGTGTATAATTATCGAGTAAAATAGGAATTCATCAGTGAAAAAAACGTACAATTTTTCAAGAAAAGACGCGTGAAGTTGTTGGATGGTAGATTTTTGAACCTTTCTTGATTGTTGCAACGAATTTTCTAGACAATCTAACACTAATTCCTGAACTATCTCTGGAGAACATGAGGTGAAGCGAAGGAATTTTAATGGGAAATTGTTTTACATAATACTGCAATGCAACAGTGCACTGTAGCACATAGCGCTGAGAAACGAAGGTAAAAGTAGCAATACCCGTGCAACGATTAAGTAGAAAGTTAGGCGAGCCGATTCGAAAGCAAACAAACATAGTAAAGAACTGGCCTACGTGCAGAGATTCGTAATGTTTAAAGCATACATATGGATTTGAATTTCGTGGATCTCATCCAGTTAAAAGAGGAATGGGAAAACGCCTGGATTCGTATAAAGATGAAGTAGAAATCCGATTTGACGAGGGAATTTTTCATAAAGCACACTAATTGAGTCGTAAAGACGGTTTATTAATTTATTTCAGACACAAAGCTATTACCGAGTATCTTTATACGTTCTTTCCACTGTGATATAAAAATTGACGAAAGGATGTTTCACGGCTGAACTGCTCCAGACGGACTTCGTAATTTGTAGAGGATCGAAAGTTTTCGTGAGAAAACTTCGTTGGATCCAATATCGAGACGAGGCGCAACCGCGCGAACTATACAAAATGATCGGCATAGAGAATAAATTCCAATAGAATCCCGAAAACTCTGTAGGATTATTCTAACTTCACAACTTTATATCTAGCGAAATATAATCGAAATTCTTTGAACAGGAAATGAGATATAGCTGTGTGAAAAATGACGCGATATGACACTGCTGAATTAACTATCCAAATAAGCAATTATCAATGGTAAAAATAATAGAAGCATAGATATCTATTCAAAGATACAAAAAAATGGTAATACTCGGAACAGCAGCGACAATTAGAAAAATGCTTCAATAGTAACAGAAGATCATATAATCTTTAATACCATAATGTCATGTAATCTTTACACCATACAAGTGCGAATAAAGCTGTTCGCATGAAAATGATAATAAAACGAAGAAAAATTACATATTTTTGGATTCGTAATTATCTGATAATATAACGATACTTTCCCTTCCTAGTCGTGTAATTTTCATGACGAACAACTTTTCACTAAATTCAAGGGAAGCTCCTATTAGATTGTACATCCTTCGGACTATGTTTATGAGCTCGCGATACACAAGCTTTCTTTCACAGCGTGAATCTTTTTCTTCTCGTGAGAATTCCAGGGCAACATCGAAAGGAGAGTGACGAAAGAGAAGAAGAAAACGAGTAGATTCAGACAGGCTAACAAAAAAGTTGGCCACGGGGGGCGAAGAAAGACGTAAGCGTAAATAACGATAGAGTCGTATAGATGGGAAGCTAGACAGATGGATAGATAAATAGATAAATAGACAGGCGTGGAAAGGGCGACGAAGGATGAAAACGGGAGGTCAGAGGGTGATAGATAGGAGGACAGATCCCAGGGACTGGCTGAGTCCGTTGGTTGGCAGCTACATTAACCGTGAAACGTGCACAGGGCAACACCAGAAAAGAAGCAGAGACAGCCTGCGGCGATAAAATAATGAGCTTCCGGTTTTCCTCGTTTCCAGGTGGTGTCTTTGTCGTGCTGGTTTGCGGGTTGGCCCTGGCTATCCTCGTCGCAGTCCTCGAGTTCTGCTGGAACTCCAAGAAGAACGCCCAATCGGACAGGGTAAGCGAACGAAGCACCGAGATACTTGCGTGCGATTTCGTGCTTCGCGTGTATGTGCTGCATGAGTGTATTTTCCTCTTCTTTGCGTGCAAGGCCGCTCGTCTCATCATCAGTGTGCTTTTTTTTTTATCGTTTTCGCATTTCGTATCTTTCGCCTGCTATATCTCGAAACTTCGATGAAAAACAATTGCATGACATATCAATGGTATAAATCTACCGTTTGATTTTCAAGTTTTTGATCGAGCGATTTGCCCGTAGAACGACAGAATCACGTTACATTTATTTGATTACACGTGGTATAGCCGGCTCGTCTGAGCACGCACGTTCCCGTTCTACTTGTTTGATTTAAATGCGATACTGCTCTACGTAGCGAGTTAAACACCAATCAAACAGCTTTCATATCAATCCGTTCGATGAATTTGCAAACAGATGAAGCATGCTAAACATTACGCTTCCAAACACACGCTTCCAAAAGCTGTGTCGTGTATCCTATGTAAAATCAGTCAAAGAATAAACGATTATGAAACGCGAAACTCACCAGAGATTCGATACGCAAAGAATTATTTATTTCATACGATAAGAAGGTTTTTTTGAGGTTTTTTTGTAGTATTTGGATCTTTTTGAATATCAACATAGGATAAGAAATGCGATATGAAACCATATCGCTGTTTGAAACGAAACCCAACTGTTTGGAAAAATATCACTTCTCAATACGTATAAGGTATATTAACGCGCAATAAAAAATATAAAAGCGCAAAAATTTTCGTTTTAATCGATAACAAAGTTGAGAGTATAAAACATCAAACACATTTACCTCTATATCTTGTCCTATATAACACAAAGTTCCGTAGAATCTTAACTTTACGTGACACAATGTCACTAACGAAGCTGTTACTTAAATACTTTCTCTAACTCTTCCTCAACCCTATCGTTATTTACAACTTGTAAAGAAGCTCATCACAAGCATACCATAATTCGCATTGAAAATTTACGATGAAAAGCGGCCTGGTACGCAAGAGGATTCGCATGGTATCGAGCTCGTCTGGTGCGATCGTCTTTCTGTATCATTTGTTGGTATTGTTGTGCCTGTTCTGCCGGTCCCTGTCCATGCATCGGTGGCAAAACGAAAAAAACGTCGACTCGACGCCGCGGCACGGCAGTCCCTGTGCGCCGAGATGGCCTCGGAATTGCGGTTTGCCGTGCGGTGCGGCTC